CTCAAACTGACAAAAGAAAAGAGAGTATGGGGCGCCTCACACACAATCACTGTATTACTCGGCCAAAATAGGAGGGCGCTCAGCAATTAAGCGACGCTTAAGGGATTGGCAGATATCAGCTGGGCGCCGTCAAGCTCGTCGGGAGACAAGGGGACATCTATGTTAAAAGCTGCCTCGTCGCCAAGTTCCCATTCAGTGAGGAAGGTGCCTCCAATCTCAAATAAGGAATCTCGATAGGGCTTCATGAAAAAGAATCCCTTGAACCAGCTTCTCCCCAATGTGGGACACATAACCATGAAATGGTAGGGCATCTTTGTCCGTTTCTATAGGGACAAACAGTTATCGAGCGCCACGACGTGAAAAAGTGTCTGAAGAGGTTGAACGTCGACCTCACGTTATGCACCCTACATTTTAGCTTAAAGAGTATCACAACTAAAATCACCGAGGGAGATAGGCACCCCAGCGAGCAGCCACGAGTCGCGAGAACGCCTTCCAAAATGGTATCTATGGGAAAACGCAACCCAAAGCGAAAATAATCCTACTAGATTCCAATCCATTTGGGACCCCACAACCCGACCCTCGCGATAGGCGAAGCAGGCGCATACCACCATTCGCGTGGAAGCTGCAGGCTACGTGTCAAATCTTTCACCCGTGACAGGCGGATGACAGACCGATGCTTAGGCCAGGCCACATTAAAGGGGATCTCAGAAGTATCCTCAGGCGCATAGTCCGGCAGGAAGGTCTTCTCCCACGTAGTAATCTTGTAAGACCCGTCCGCGCGCATGAAACCAGGCGGCAGGCGTTGCTGATCGGGGCGTCCTCTATAGAGCAAAAATTGAAGAGGGTGCCCTCACCTTAACTGACTTTGAAAATAGATAGGGATCGGAAGTTAATGAAGAGGTCGTGTAGGGTGCTTACCAGGGTTGCGTTGGAAGTCTTGTTTCGGAGCCAAGCCGACGTTGGGAGCTTGATCTCGTGGGTCAGACATGGTGGCGGGTGCCATCGAACGAAGGCGGGGTCTGCGAGGGCTGCCGACGGGTAGAGAGAAGGCAGAGCAAAATTCTGATTTTGAGGAAAGTGAGGCAAATGAGAGAGGGAAAGAACCATTTATAGGAGCAAGGGGGTGTGCGCCTCGAGTTCCATGTAAATAGTGAGGGGGCGCATCTCAGAAATCGTGCCAACGACCATGTGTCACAATCTGGGCCCCACATTCAAAATTCAAAATTTTGAATTTTGAGGTGGGCGTGTGGGTATCACAGCAAGGCGCCTGGTCGGGAATTAAAATAAATGGGTGGGAGATGCCTAAACCAGTGGAGCGGAAGGTGGAGGCCTCTGCAGGGCATTCATTGAATGTAGCTCCAAACGTCGACACACGCAACCCGATGAAGACCGAGTGAAGGTGTTGTGAAGGACGAGGTGCCCACTATGAAAAAGGGGAAACGTAGGTGACGTGCCCAGGAGAAAGGCTCACTAAACGTTGATGGCTGAGTCACCGACTAGTCATAGAGGATATACGTACGAAAGCGCCAGCAACAGGGAAGTGGGGGACAATCAACAGGCGCCCTGATCAACAACTTGGGCTCCTATAATGGGAAGAGGAGTGTTATACAGTTGGGTGCCTTGAGCTTGACTCCCAAGGATAATAGTGGTAGTAAGAAAAGGGGGCATTCCAGGGGCGTCATGATTGGAGAGATGGACATCACAAGATATAGTTAGGCACTCAAAAAGATCCTTGAATGCCTAACTGGGGGGCAATTGTTGGGGGTATGACTAGAAAGAGAAACCCAAATCCAGGCCCAATAAAAGATTGGGGGCCCGGAAGGTGTCCAGGGCAGGATAGAGCCGGGTAGGGAAGCCCATTAGGCCAAGCCCAAGCGAGAGTGAGGAGAGGCTCTAACACATTCTAAGGAGGTACAAGTTGGCAGTGGTCCCAGGAAGGAGGCGCCTATAACTTGTCAGAAGACTGACAAGTTGGTCGGGGCGCCTAGCCTAAACAAAGTACAAGGCATTTAATGACGTGGTGATGTGGAGCTAAGAGAGAGGAGCATAATCCCAGGGTGTGTAAGTATAAATAGTGTCGGTAGGTAACATTTAAGGGGGACGGATTCTCTCTCAAGAAACTGGGGCAAAGTACTTCTCTCTCTAAAAAATGTTTACTAACTTGAGCGTCGGAGGATTAACGGGCCAGGTGCCCACCTCTGTGTGCACTGTGCGTAGGTGAGGCGCTCAAGAGCAAGGCAAAGGTGACGCGGCACGGGCGTTGGAGTGTTTAGTCTCAAACACTCATCATCTACGATTGTACATTGATTGAAGAAGCCATCTCTGTTTCGGGTTTGTACTTGCCAAAATTCCCACAAATGCTGTACTAGCGGACAAAATTAAGGTATGGATTTCATGAATTTTATAAAAACTGAAGAAAAATGGACCAAATTAATATTTGGTCAGCTTAAGTACAATGATGATCTATTCCTTGATGTTAAGATTTTTTTTACTATTAGACCGCGATTCTCTTGATCAAATCAGAATGTTCACCTCTCGACTAGTTCCTTTGTTTGACATAACAGCCAACCACACTTAGAGGTGACAATCCATCAATCCAATCCATCCACTAAAATGTCCAACTATCTAATCCATTTAAATCCAATCTATTTGATTCAAATCCAATTGGATTGGTGGATTCATGGATTGCAATGTTGTCAGAACCGAACCAGAGTCTGGCCCGATAACGTAAACGACTCTCACTTTAGTGGTCCAACCGTCATTGGGCCGTTAAAAAACCGTCAGAGAACCGGTACCTTATAAAAAATAATATCACAAATAAAAGACATGTAAAGTAATAATTTAACAATGTAATGACTAAAATGAAAATTTACTTTGTAGTTACCAATTATTAATTATATATATATATAATTAATAATTGGTACCTACAGAGTAAATTTTCATTATATATATATATATATATATATGGCGAATTCTACGGTACCCAGGATGAAATCCTGGGTACCGCATACCTTGAGTAAGAAAACGCTATCCAGAACTTGAATTGACTGATCTTTCAGACATAATACTATACTCTAACCCTTAAAGATCAAAATCTAGGTCTTAATACTCTAAATCTTATACCCAAAGATCAATTTAATTAGAAACAGTAATCGACGGTTATAATTCGTCCAAATATAGGAAAAAAATCAATGCATCATCTTCCAAACAAATCAACGCCCTCCTCCTCATACTACTCCTTCAATCCGAGGTCAGAAGTGAAGGGGCTCCACTTCGGCGGCCAAATCCTCATAGTGGACAAAACGAACCCAAAAAAGACCTGTTTACGAGCACCTCCCTTCTCACGAGTTCGACCACCTGACCCTTCTTCTTCTTTTTTACCCGTTGGACACAGAGAGCACCGACCCCAAATAAAGGGGATTGCTAATTGTCGCCCTGATCGCCCTAACTTAAAAAACTAAGATTACAATTTATCCTCCTTTATTTTTTCTTCCAATATATTTTATTCCAACAAACAAAATAAAAAAGGAAAAAATTGACATCCGCATCAAACCGCCACCACCGTGCCCCGCCATGACCTATCCCTTCCTCAAGTATCATCTTTGTTCAACAAAACTTACAATTTCTAGTGTGTTAATTTAACAAGACAATTCTTTATGGTGGCGGGAGTGTAGGCGTAGGGACAGACGCAGAGTCAAGAAACACACAGTCAGGGAGAAGGGCGTAGCGACGGCGAGGAGAATAACTAAGGTAGTGCCAACGACAAATGAGGGAAAAAAGTATTGAAGACGGTGGAGTGAAGCGGCGGCGGAAGGTATTTGGAGAGAGGGGTTCGGCGGCGTTAAGAGGATGAAGGATTCAAGACGGTTTGTTTTATTGAATTTGGTTTAATTAATGAAGGATAATTTGGTAGTTTTACATTTTAAGTTAGGGGGATAGTAGTAAAACTAGGAAGATGTTTAGCCGTACAGAAAATAAAAAACCTTACCCTTCTTCTTCTGTTTCGTAACCCGATTGGGATTTTGATTTTTTGATTTTCTATTTTTTTTATAATTAAACATAACGGCCGAAATGGAGAAACCGGACGAGTGGCTCGAGCGGTTAACAGTCTCGATCGCTCCAAAAACCGCTTCAAAAACCGCTCTGAATTTTTTACTATGTCGAGCCGGTTTGGTGACCAGGTGCCGGTTTTACCAGTCGGACCAACCGGCTCGGCTCGATTTTAATAACACTAATGAACTGATCCATGAATTCAAATGACAAATTACTATATAGTACCTATACTTTTTATTTTTTGAATTTTGGTACCCAAAATTTAATTTTAAATGGAGAATATCATTGAAAAACTACGCCTTGGTACCTGAATTTTTTATCATGACATTTTAATACCCAAACTTTTCAAAAGTTACATATTGGTTCAAAATTTGGATATCATTTGAAATTTGGATTCATGGTTCAATCCACCCGATTAAGCTCAAACCCTTGCCTTCGGTATCCAGTACATAAATCCATGAATCCAATCCACTTTATTCATGGATACACCAATCCAATCCACCAATTCATAGATCAATCCACCCCATCAAGCTCAAACCCTGGCCTTCGGTATCCAGTACATAAATCCATAAATCCAATCCACTTTATTCATGGATACACCAATCCAATCCACCAATTCATAGATACAATCCATTTGTCACCTATAGCCACACTTTTCGGTGGGGAATTGGTTCTTTTGTTAAAACCAAAAGTCACCGGTTTCTGTTCACAATTGAACTACTTGGTTTTGGTACTGTTTTCGGCCTTTCGGGCCTTCTTTGATCCCTTTTCTCAAACCGTCGCTAACGGGTTGAGTTCAGTAACCAAATACCTTCCAGCCTTCACCCATAGCCATGGGAAATCAACCTAGCTTACAACATAGTCCGAGAAAGCGGTAAACCATTGATGGAATCGCATTACGCAAATCTTGTTGAAGCCTAAAGGGCTCCCCATTGTTTGCAAATGTTACCCGAAATTACTAACTACCTGAATATAATGAACTTTGATCGACTTATTAAGCACGTTCTACAATTACAATTGTCACAGGTAAAAAAGAAATACCATATAGGGGAGGACTAGAGAATGACCATGTAATAAGCTATAGCTCATATGACAACCGATAAATAAATACTGAAAACATCAATGTTTCACCAGAACAAAAATCCATATCAATTCAGATATAACTTATATTCTCCTCCGTCCTCCGTTATTTCCATCTTCTCCGAAACCCGATTCGATCAGAAAACAGGACCAGCAGCAAGAATCTGCTCTGTGAGCTTCCCATCCTTCCCTATCTTATGATTAGCAAACACCTCAAAGTTCTTCTTAAACAGACCTCCCAACTTCAGCAGCGTCTCATTGTAAGCCTTCTTGTCCGACCACTGCAACACCCCCAAATCCGAAAATATCCAACATCTCAGTCTGCGGTTGTACTAAGGTAAAAAGAAGAAGAGGCACACCAATCAAAACACTCACAGTGTTGGCAGGTTGAAGGATTTCAGAAGGAACACCCTCGATCGCAGTCGGGATCTCAAGGCCGAAGATCTCGGTCTTATTATAATTCGCCTCCAGAAGTTCACCAGAGTGAATTGCATTAATGATCTTCCTGGTGTAACTCAACTTGATGCGGCTCCCAGATCCATAGCTGCCCAAAAGAAGGAGAAGAAAAAAAACATTGATAGAGTAGGGTGATCCTTAAAAAGATCAACAGATCGAGCAAAGAGTCGCGAGAGGGCAAACAATGTCACCTTCCACCAGACCAGCCGGTGTTAACGAGCCACCCAGTAGCTCCATGCTTCTGCATCTTCTCGGCTAGCATTGCTGCATACCTAGTTGGATGCATCATTATGAAGGCTGCACCAAAGCAGGCTGAAAAGGTCGCCTGTGGTTCCTTGATTCCATCTTCCGTGCCAGCCACCTACAAATCATTCATGGAGTTGTTAAGCACTTGTTAACCTATAAAACCTCTTTTGACATGTTTCTTTTTCAATAGTGAAGGAGTAGTACCAGAGCAGTGTAACCGCTGATGAAATGGTACATGGTCTGCGCGAGGCTGAGCTTGCTCACCGGTGGGAGCACACCGAATGCGTCGCAAGCCAGAAGGATAACGTTCTTCGGATGCGGTCCCACGCAGGGTAACTTGGCGTTAGGGATGTATTCGATAGGGTAAGCCGCCCTTGTGTTCTCTGCAAACAAGAATCACAGCCCAGAGAAGGCACCAAAAGGAAAGAAGAAAAAAAAACCCCAGTTAATGTGTGAACAATTGATATGAGAATCCTCTAATTTTACCTGTCACTGATTTGTCCGTGTAGTCCACTTCTCTTGTATGCTCATCGAACACCACATTCTCCAACACTAGCAACATAAAGAACAGAACAGAATGAAATTTGTGACAAATATGAATCCAACCCCTAAAACAGAAAAAAAGACTGTTGCATTATTACCTGTTCCGAACTTGATGGCATTGAAGATATCAGGCTCCTTCTCCGCGGAAAGATCAATGCACTTAGCATAGCAGCCACCTTCGATGTTGGATACACCATTGTCGCTCCAGCAATGCTCGTCGTCCCCAATCAAGTACCTATTATGATCCGTCGAAAGGGTAGTCTTCCCAGTCCCTGTACATAATAATGGCAAGCCAATACATTAACACAAACAATGCTACACTCTCTTTCGATTTCGGTTCATCGATTAATCAATCAATTGTTGCAAGCAAGCATGCCTGATAATCCGAAGAAGAGGGCAACATCCCCATCTTTGCCCATGTTGCAGCCAGAGTGAAGGGACAGGATCCCACGCAAGGGCATGAGATAGTGCATGACCCCGAACAGCCCTTTCTTCATCTCCCCGGCGTATTGGGTGCCCAAAATCACCATCTCCCTCCTCCCCAAGTTCAGGTCGATGCTGGTGGAAGAGGTCATGTAGTGAGTGTAACGGTTGCAGGGGAACTGCCCAGCATTGTATATGGTAAAATCGGGCGTTCCAAAGCTTTCCAGCTCCTCGGGAGTGGCCCGAATGCACCTGCAAGTGCAACAACAACAACATATATAGGTAGGGCATATCTTAGAGTTTCGTGGGTGTAATTGAGTTGAGGTAAGTTTTAAGTGGTGAAAACAATTACATGTTGTGCATGAAGAGGGAATGGTAAGCTCTGGCGGAGACGATTCGGACTTTGATCCTGTGTTCTGGGTCCCAGTTGAGGAATTGATCGTTCACGAACACCTGTCACAATTAAGTTGCTAGTTATTTAATGCACAGAAGGAGGAAGACGAACAACTCAAAGGGTTAGTGATGCAAGGGAATTAAATTCAACGGGGGAAATGGTGATGCAATCAGCTCAACTGTATTTCATTTGGGGCACAAAAGAAGAGGGGGAAAAAAAAACAATAGAATGAAAAAGTTCGGCTGTGGCATCACAATCGTCCCACTTAATAATTAATATACACAGTGAACTTAGAAGGGACGGGATGTGCCGTGCTGTTGTTTCCATCAAACATTTGTACACTTGCAATTTGCAAATAGGGATGGCAATAGTTTAGCTGTTTAGGTTTCTCCATCCAGTCTGCATTTGTCAAAAATTGTGATAAAATTCTCGTTTAGGTTTTAGAATAGAAAAATCAACCTAGTAAGTATCCATGGTTGTATAGACACTCATGAGTTAACAAACATAATCGTTAATAATTACTCTGAAGACACACGTTCTTATATTACCAAAACCTTTATGTAGCTATATTGCATGAAGGCTAATAATAACATCAATAATTATTCATAGTATTAGAATTATATTGTGACACATAATAATAACATTCATAAATTATTAGGTTATATACAAAATGACGTGATTTTTTTAAAGAGTGGGTCGAATGGATAATGGGTTGTGTTTTGGCTAAACTCACATCAAACCCACAATTCCAAGAGCAGGATTTACCCGCTCCCGAGCCAAGTCCATCTACATAAATTTTACCCGCCTTGAATGAGTTAAATTGAGTTTTTTTTTTAAATACAATATATTAGCCACAACTATTATGAAACGGAGAATTATAACCACAACTATGGAAATTCAAATTATTAGTCAAACGTTAACTATTTGTTAACAATTTCGTTAGTAATACTGACTAAACTTTTATGTTTTAAAGTTATAAATTAAAAGCATTCTGACGTGGCCTCTGTCGTGGCCGATGACGTGGCCTTTTTCGTCAAAAATTCAATAACAGTAACGGACAGTTAGCCATATCTTGACCCGCAACAATAATTATGACTAATAATTTGAATTTTCATAGTTGTGGCTATAATTCCCCGCTTCATAATAGTTGTGGCTAATATATTGTATTTTTTTTTATTTTTATACTCAGTAGAGTCGGTTTCAATTGTCATCCTACTTGCAAATGAAAAGGCGCAACCCCAGCAGAAGAAAAAGAAAGATGGAACCCTGGCACTGTCTATAAGATTTGGCCCACGATAATAACAATAAGTCCATGCAACCGTGCATGAAACTGGTCGTCGTTTTAATTGGAGGATCATTTTCTCTCTTCTTGAACATAACTTCTCTAGGATACCGATAGATAGGTCTCTGTTTGGAGTTTGGACTTTTTGAGGGAACATGGCGGGAAATGTCAACTTCATTCTGTTAATGACAATATAAATATTTTTTTTTTTTGACAATAATGTCAACTTCATTCAGCAGGCTAATAATAATCAAGATGTTGGGTGGGAGTGGTAATGTGGTATTGGAGGACCTTCCCTAGCTAGTTTCTTTCTTGTTATTATTATTTTTTGGTAGAAAGTTTCTTTCTTGACGAAGAACTTCGTTGGTGCTAGCCGCGAAGAAAAATGAGACCATCCCACCCAAAAACAACTCGGAACTTATGGAAGTGGGGAAACAAAATATTCAAGGTTTCGGTGGTCGTGGTAGGACACGTGGATCCGTTGAATCCAGAAAATAGAGAAAAACAAAAGGTTGGATCTATTTGCAGTAAAACTGTAAAAGGGTGGGTGGAACTGGAAAGCAAACTACGGGCATCAACTCCGTGAAATATATTTAAGGATGGATACCCAAATCTCAGCCAATAAATCCCATTCACTTGTCTTTTCCCCTTATTTTCCCCCTATCCATTTTTATCATTTTTTATTCTTCTCATTTGTTTAGACTTTCAATTGTATGTATTGTTAACGATAATAATAACATATAAATTATAACATAAAACATATGAATTTATGGAGAAATAGATTACAATTACTTCATCTTATTTCATGTGATTTTAAAATTTGCTAGGTGTCACTTCACATGAACAAATTTGTGACTTCACAGGAATGGATGCATTTTACTTCTATGTTTTAAAAGTTCTACTAGACAAGCCATAATGATTAGATTATAATATTCGATACAAGGAGTCATTTGAAGAAGGAATTAAGAGGATAACAAATTCATAAAATCAAATGAAATTAATCATATTGTTTTTGTAACTTGGCTTATGTGATTCTAGGTTTAAGAGATAGTGATATCAAATCTATGCTAGGCGAATTTTAATATATCAAAACTCTTGGTTTTTATTGTTCATTTAAAAAATATATATATATATATATGAAATAATCGTATGATATAAATGCATGCTGATTCTTGGTACAGTCATGGTTGCAAGATTTATGGCAGATTTTACGGCCCCTAGTCCCTATGCTCTGCTTGACTGCTCTGCTCTGCTCTGCTCTGAACGCGTAATCGGTTTGGTCACTCTCAAAATAAGGCGGGTATGCTGGCGTCCATTAATTCATCCCCACATGCCACTTCTCTTTCTTTACAATCAATATTCATTCATTCATCAAGTAAATAAGCAACAGGGGAAGGTGGTACATACCTTGTCCAAAGAGTTCAAGTAATCCACAGCTCGTTCCCTGTTCACCATGAACGTATGCTCGTCCATCTCGATGTTCGGCGATCCCCTGCAACGCAATCCCCATTTATTTATTATTCTTATGTTTAATAAGGGGGGGAAAAGTCCAAAATCAGTCCCACATTGAGATTGAGGTTTTATGGGTGTGGCTGGCTACTCACTTTCCCCACCAAAGATCATCCTCCGTCGTATCGTCCCTCACCACGCGCTTGTCCCTTGGCGACCTCCCCGTCTTTGCACCGGACAGCGTCGCCAGTGCTCCCGTCGACGTTATGAACGACCCCTTCTCGTACTTTATCGCCTGCTCGTACAGCTCTGTCATGTGTAATAATAACAAACAAACAATTGCAATAAATATACGCGGAGAACTGCACGCAACCCCAATCCCGATGACATATACGATAATAACATATTAAAAAAAAATATTTGTTATTGAGACAGAACAGAGTACGTGCCAGCCGGGGAGAGATTGTAGAGGACGTGGGTGAATTTCATGGAGCTATCCGTCACGCTGATCGACGGCGTGTAGTGCTCCACCTGCGCCACCTTCGGCGTCGAGCTTCTCGCCGGATCCCCCTTCACCACCTTCGGCCCCGTCTCCCGAGTCAGCGACGCCAGCGACGCACTGCAAAGTTCAATTTTCTCGTTAATTAGTCGACTCTTTTTCATAAAATATACAATTCGCTAATTAATTAGAGGGTTAATCAGTTTGGACCTGATGGACTGGAGCTGCTGCCGCTGGCGGTCCTCCTCCGACATGGCGGTGAAGAAGGCGCCCTGACTCGCGGCAGCGCCGGCTGGGGTGGTACCGGCGGTGATGGGAGTGGAAGGAGTGGATCTCTTCTTCTGGAGCGAGTGGAGCTCATCCAGCGTCTGCGCTTTCACCGGGGTCGCACTGTCGTCGTAACACAAATCCTCTGCTCTGGCGGCGGCGCTGCTCAGCTTCTTGCCGTTGTCCTGAGTCTGGATCTTCGGCAGCCCGTTGCGCCCAGCACCGGCGCGGTTCCCCGTCGTCTTCGGCGATGACGCGAAGCTGAATTCCCCGCCGTTGTTATTCGCCCCGCCGGAAGCCATCTCTCTCTTTCACACTCTGTTTTCGATCACAAAGGAAAAACAGGGGAGGGCGAAGAGATAAGTACGAGTCAATTGAGAATGTATATATAGAGGGCGGAGGACTTGAATTGGGAGGATAAGGGTATGACGCAGAAATGGGAAATCAATTAATAAAAAAGCATAAAACTGAAACAAATTGAAGAACTTTCTTTCTCGAGAGGAGTGATGATTTTATTTTCCTTTTTCTTTTAAATCTTTCTCGAGAGGAGTGATGATGATTCGTGCAGTGCAGAGTGATGTGAAGAAGAAGAAAGGGTCAGAAGAAAATTACAATGACAAGCTGAGGAATTTGGTGGTCGGTTGCTTTCTGACAAATAACAAGATATTGGGCCTCCAATGGCGGAAGGAAGGAAGGGAAAGCTGGAAATTGGGTGTTGATTCCGTAAGGGCGCCTTCTGGGAGTGGAGTTATATAGGGGAGGGCGGGAAGGAGCCAGGGTTGGAATTTTACCACGGTTAGTTTTGTGGTTGGTGTGATGATGATTTCATTTGGGGGGTAAAAGAGGGATGGTCAATGCTTAATACTGGCTTAATGGATTTTTTTCTTATTAATATATAGAAGCTAAGTTATGTTGCAAAGTCAAAGCTTGAGGTCTTATCTATGGAGTGATGTACAATTTCTTACTTTTCTTATTCAAGTTTAAGATATTGTTTTTATGAATAAAATGACTTTTTAAATTAGTTAATGTGAACAAGGGTTTGCTTAGCTTGATTACTATCGTGGGGCTATGGGGTCTGATTTTCGACATCTTTCTTAGGAGTCGTTCATTTGCAATATGATAATCCAATAGTGATGAGGACTAAACAGCTGTTTATTGGGCATTAATCACGTAATTAGGTTCTATAACCCACATTGGAAAAGAGAGAATTCGGGTATCGAGGAAAAAGTGATTCTCTGCCCAATTCGAAATTAATTACCCTTTTCGTCTTCAACTTTATCTCTCCCTTTCGTCTCCTCCTCTCTCCCTTTCAATTCCATGTCAATCAGAACCCTCCCCGCCATTATGAAGCACTCTTCCTGAACTAGGATATCTTCCAGCTCATCTCGAGCTTGTCTAAGAGCTGCGTTATCATCATTACTGCCTGTTCGCACCTCCAGAAACCCAATATCTCTTGCAGCTGGAGCTGTGGATTGAGTAAGGAAGTAGCTAGTTGATGACTAAAAGCAGGTGTTGAACACACACCCTATCATCCGCATAAGGGCTTATGTGGTGGTTTCACAACGTTGCTCGCGAATATGTTAACATTCACTTCCTATTTTTTGCATGACAAAGCCCCGAGCCGGTACTCTGATCTTCTCTGGGGAGTTCCAACAAGACTTGTCAATATCCTTTCTCGCAGGATTTACCGCAAAAGTATAAGCGACCCGTCTCGATTACGATTCCTCGACGACAGCATCGCCGACCCATCCCTACTGTAGGCCATCCTCCGGCTTCCCTCCCAACTTCTCCCTTTACGCCGACCCTCTCCTATCCCTTCGACCCTGTCGACCATCGTCCATCCGCGACAGCACTTCGAGCGACCCTCTTCCTAGTCTCGGCTGCAGGACTTGACGGTGAGGGATTGTTTCTTGACCGATATGCATTCCTCGTTTTATTCTTCCCCTTCCTTATAGAGACCTTATTTGCTCTAATATGAAATTGACTTGCTTTCCAATGCAACACTTTCTTCCGATCGACATCCTTCACTCCGCATTTGATATGCTGGTCCAGTTTAACTAACTAGTGAGTGTGTCGCAATACCACGTCTCCCCGTCTGTTGCATGCGAATTTTGTATTTTGATTGTGTTTCTTGTCGCGTTCACATTTTGTCTCTCTGTAGTTTTTTTAATTTCGGGATTGGGTAATTGTATCACTGGAGTGGTATAAAATGTTGATTTTAGCACGGAAGTGTACAATTGCAGTGATAGTTAACTTGACAAAGCATTTTGTGTATGTCTATCACTGTCGTCTATCACTACATTGATTGTTATCAGTGTGAATAGAGGTGGCAAATATATTGATCCATGGATTGGTGGATCCATAGATCAAATGGATTTGTGGATTCATGGATTGGATCCAATGGAATGGTGGATTATTCATGGATCCAAATGACATCCTCAACCAACGATCAATATGTAAAATGTGAAAAGTTTAGGTATGAAAATGTCATAATGAAAAAGTTTTGGCCCCAAAATGTAATTTTCCAATGATATTTTTCGTATAAAAAATTAAATTTTGGATACCAAAATGCAAAATATAAAATGTATAGGTACCAAACCATAATTTGTCATTTGGATCCATGGATCAATCCATGAATCCACCAATCCAATTTGATTTTATCAAATGGATTGGATTTAAATGGATTGGATTAAGTGGATATTTTTAATGGGTTGGTGGATTGGATTGAGAATTGCCACCTCTAAGTGTGAGAATGTTATATTATTTCTATCACTAGTGTTGTATTTGGTGTACCACTGTACTGGTATTTGTATCAGTGATTTATATCACTGCAGTGATAGTTGTCTTACTTATTCAGTTTATATTTCTATCACAATATTGATAGTTCTGACTATCGGTGTACCACTCCCAAGCATCCCTTAAGGTTTCATCCTCCTCTTGATCAAAGTGGATGATTTGTCTATAGAAATCCACTGTCTTAGATGGTGGTGTCAAACCGGGGTGCTCCAATTAGTACGATATTGTTCGCTTTGGGCCAAGCCCGCACAGATTTACTTTTGGGTCTCCTTCCCAAAAGGCATCATACTAATGAGCTTGGTGGACACTAATATACAAGGGTTCCTTCCCTTGTATTTTCGATGTGGTACTTGAATTGTACCATAACAATCCTCCCCTTAAGGCAAGGACCACGAACTTCTTGTCCTCTCCTCAGCGATTATCTTGATCCGCCAGACACCTTGTATCGATGAGCTTCTCAGTACAAGGATTTTTCCAAACGCAGAACTCTCTTTGATCTTCTTTCCAGACGCGAAACTCTCTTTGATCCGCCAAGCCCAAACGTGATCTCTCCTGGATCCACCAAACAGACGCGAAACACCTTTGACCCGCCATACAAACGCAGATCTCAAATCCCGAAGCCACCGAATGAGGGTCCCACCAAACTGAAGTCCACCGCCCCGGATCCGCCAAACCAGACTCTGATACCACTTGTTGAAACTAGGCAGTCCATTTGTACGATATTGTCCGCTTTGGGCCAAACCCCCACGGTTTTACTTTTGGGTGTCCTCCCCAAAAGGCCTCATACTAATTCGGCAAGTGGACACTAATATACAAGAGTCCCTTCCCTTACATTACTGATGTGGTACTTAGATTGTCCCATAACAATCTTCCCCTCAAGACAAGGACCACAAACTTCGCGTCCTCTTCTCAGCGATTATCTTGATCCGCCAGACACCTTGTATCGATGGGCTTCTCGGTACAAGAATTTTCCCAGACGCGGAACTCTCTTTGATCTGCCAAAAAAACGTGGATCTCTCCTAGATCCACCAAACAGACGCGGACCTCCCTTGATCCGCCAGACCAGATGTACCCCAAACGTGGATCTCTCGTGGATCCACCAAACTAGACGCATATCTTAAATCCCGAGGTTACCGAACGAGGGTCTACAGAACTAACGTCCACCTCCCCGGATCCGCCGAACCAGGCTCAGATAACACTTGTCATAATCGGGGAGCTCAATTAGTACGATATTGTCCGCTTTGGGCCAAGCCCGCACAATTTTACTCTTCAATGTCTTCTCCAAGAGGCCTCGTACTAATTGGGCAAGGTGGACACTTATATACCAGGGTTCCTTTCCTTGTATTTCCGATGTGGTCTTTTGATTGTCCCATAACAGGCGGGAAGTATTTTGCCATGAACTTAGTGACCAAATCATCCCAAAGAGACAATGGAGAAGAAGGGTCGGCTATTGAGCCAACTCCGTGCCTTGCCACTTAGACTGTAGGGAAAGAGTCTCAATCTAAGGGCTTCTTGAGGCACTCAGTTCATCATGATTCCATCAGTCAACTCGTAGAAACGGTTGATGTGCTCTCTTGGTGACTCATTGTCGAGGCCTTGAAATTGAATGTTGATTTGGATCATTGAGATAAGACCGGTCTTGATCTCAAAGTTGTTCCCACCATGGTGGGATTTTGAATTCTCAATTGGATATCCTCCACCCGTGGGTTCACGTAATACCCCATGGTCCTCTTCTCATCACCTTGTTCAGTAGCTTGGTTGGCCATGTTGTTAACTACAAATCCTCCTCTTCAACTTCCTCTTCTTCCTCGGATTCCTCTTCTTTGGTTTGAGCCCGAATCGCACGTCCCTTCCTTGATTCCCTTAACTCCCTCTCATGAGCAAGAAGCTGAAGAGTTCGATTGATGTTGTCGTCTAGTGGCACTAAGTGATCCAGATTGTTCTGGATCAAACACCACCTGAAATCACTTCAAACAACACAAACGTGGGGAGCAAAATCAAGTTACAACACGAAATTTGCAAGAAAAAAACTAGATTAACGACAATTCACTTTTTTTAATAATAAACCGTTGTCCACAACAATGGCGCCAGAAAAACTTGACTTGTGGTAGCTATATCTATCTCGTTCAAAGGCCATGTGCTACCTTCAACTGAGTGTAGTATATATCAAGTATTTTTGAAATACCAACCAGAGTACTCTATCTAGGGAGCTCTAAGCTAGATAGGAGTCCATATTCCCTATTCGAGCTATCTTATCCCCGCCCAATGGCACTATGGAAAGAGGCGTACCGAACTACCAACCTAGGCAATTGGGGCTAGAGTAGTCAAAATCTCGATTTAAACCTTAAAATCTTTGGGTCGATTTTACTTATTTTCCTCATAATTTGGAAAATTATGCCTCTTTTCCTTCTCCTCCACCAACATCGTCTAGTTCTCTTACACTATCCACCATAGACCATCATCAATTCACATCAATGTATTAATCATTATTGATTTACCACTTGCTAACATTAACCTTGGTAAATGAGAACATTATGTGGACCTTATAACCTTATAATTTTACGATTCGATTTTATGATTCTGATTTTACCGCCATTTTCAATTTTAAATAAAATCCCGATTTTGACTACTATGATTGGGGCAGTCAAAGATACTAACACATTTTGGGTAATGACCTGATACAAACAAGGAGTCTAATCACACTCGTTCATAGACCCCCAACTGTTGATTTGGTTATGCTCTAAATTGGCCCTAAGGAGATATTCTCTAACCGAGGTCGATTAGCCCCAAATTGAGGGAAGTGATCAAGAACCTTCAATTTCCAGGAAGAATACACAAATTAATATATAATCAATCACTAAAATCAACATATAGGGTTCACAATCATTCAACTATAACATAGTAGAATATGGTTCTA